CACTCATTTCTTTACTTAACTGAAATGCTCTCTATAGGATAGTTTTGACGAGAGAGTTCACATAAGAAACTTATGTTTACCATTTCTTTTCATGCATAGTCTTGCAGTGTTTTTCTTTTTTACATTACCTCTTGATATTACCAACAAAGGACAAGTGTCATGTTTTTCAAAATGTAATAATACATCTCCTGAAATTGTATCTCTTACATGGTAATAAGAATATCTGGTTAAAGCCTAAGACTTTATAAAAATTGTACACCACACCAATTTTGGAGCCAAGATGGGGTAGCCAATGTTGATAAGGCTGACAGGACTATATATGTGGCTTCTTATATGATTGACTGCAATGTGAGTTACCTAGGTGCAAGGCTAATGGAGAACTTTAAGGTTATGAACTGAACTGAATCCTTATATTGGTAAATTTCCAGCATATTAATCAATAAATTCATATCACATGATTAAAGGACCATGTACAAGTCTTTAATGTAACGTAGGCCTTAGTAAGTTGTTGTGACTTTTGACAATTTTGTTACCGTTTTGTCTGAAACGAAGTCACCAGGACAGAAGGAACTTTTGTGGATTAAACATTATAGATGTTACATCAGTGTGCAATTTGTTCACCTTAGAATGGTCAGGACATGATCATTAAGACTAAAGAAATTATGCAAATAAATGATTCTAAGTATGGTCTGATGGATAAATCATAATCGGGCTGGTGTTACAAAAATTAATCCAGGGCACAAGCAAGAGAACCCTAAGGTTTTAGGTTTGAATCGTTCATCACAATGTTTGTCTACAGGGCTTGGCGAGCTGCAGAACATTAACTAGATCTAAATTTACTGGTGAAAACAAAGTTGAGGCCCTCAACCTTTTATATCTTCCAATTCCAGTTTAAAGGGTCATATAATTTTGTATTATGAACACTACACTAGAAGGGGGATAAGTCATGTAACATTTAACTATTTTGCAAGTTCTCTTAAAACTCTGGTGTTGATTTAGTAAATCAATGAACAAATTTTTATGAGATTTCTCATAATTTTTTGTTGATATTACCTCTTGATATTTCCATGCTTAAGTTAATACCACCTGCACTCCAATTTCTGGAGTGAATAATGTGGTTCAGGTAGTTTCACAAATTATCACCAGAAAAATATGTAATACAATTTACTGTAAAACTTATAGATAGATCGTTTATTCATCAGAGAAGTAGCTGTTTAATCATTGGAGAGCAGGTATCTCTTGTGGAAAACGTTTAGGTGCAATTTAAGGGTTGTCCACTTGAAGCTACTAATCCTTGCATATCTGCATAAGTCTACAAGTTGGACTTCCTACGAGAGAACTGAGGAAGAAGCTGTTTTTATTATTTTATTGCACTCTCTTAGCCCAGCATCTACTCATTGGAATGCGGCAAAGGTGCTTGCGAAATGTTTGCACTGGAAGTCTTGCGGTTTACTACTTCTTGCCTTTTGACATGGTATTACCATGCTTTGGTGCCATAGTTTTTAGCCGACTAAAAGCCCATGGGTACCTACATGCACCCCAGTTTTTCTAATTCTGCCTGCATGATCCCCTCAACTGATCTTAAGGATTTTATTATAGTTTCTACAATTTGGACAATAACCTTATGTGTTGATTTGTGTTATTTGTCTAGAAAAAAGTCACATGCAGCTTAATTTTTGTTGCAGTTGAAGAAAAGACCTGATAGCCTTACCTTGAAAAGTCTGGGCGTTTGCCAGTGAATGTCTTGAATTACTATTTTCTGAAATATTGTACATATGAAGTTTGATAATTAGTCTCATCTCGAGCATTGTTTCTTCAGGATTGGTTGGACATTGATTTTGGGATTTCGGAAGGTGTTGATTTTGTTGCTATATCATTTGTTAAGTCTGCTGAAGTTATAAAGCACCTTAAGAGCTATATTAAGGCACGAGCTCGTGATGGGTGAGTTACATGGAGTTTTTTAAAATAGTATTGTTTATTGTGAAGGTGAAGTCAAGTCCCTCGGCCCTTTTGATGCTTTATACTATATTTCATGGCAGTTTCTGGATAGGGTTTTGTTCTTAGATGTTACTTGTTGCATTAAACATTGCTCATCCCTTGTCACATGCAACATAATATTATGAAACTGTGCCATTATATAGTCCCCTCAATGACATCCGTCAGAATTAGAAATAGTTGAAAACTTGAGTTGCATTCAGTTTCACTGGGAGTTCATCCTTGTAATCCAAATATAGAAGCTTGCAAAACTTTATTTGATCTGGGTTGACAGTCATATTAAATGTGGCCAAAAATATGATGTGATGCAGTGACATATCTGTGATTGCAAAAATAGAAAGTATTGATTCATTGAAGAACTTGGAGGAGATCATTCAAGCATCTGATGGTGCTATGGTGGCAAGAGGTGATCTGGGTGCTCAGATTCCGTTGGAACAGGTTCCATCAGAACAACAGAGGATAGTCCAAATCTGCAGGCAATTAAATAAGCCTGTTATTGTTGCCAGTCAGTTGCTTGAATCTATGATTGAATACCCTACACCTACTAGAGCTGAAGTTGCCGATATTTCTGAAGCGGTGCGCCAGCGATCAGATGCTTTAATGCTTTCTGGCGAGTCTGCCATGGGCCAGTACCCTGAGAAGGCATTGACTGTTTTAAGAAGTGTTAGTCTGAGAATCGAGAAGTGGTGGAGAGAGGAGAAACATAATGAAGCTACAGAACTCTCAGGGATAGCATTGTCTTTTTCAGACAGCATTTCAGAAGAGATTTGCAACTCTGCTGCTAAGATGGGTAATAAAAATTTGTCTTCAGATTTCTCATGATTAGTTATCAAAGTAAATATTTCTCTATTTTCTGCCAAGAACTTGTATCCATTGTGGGTACTGACGACCACTTTAATTACCATTAAAACCCAATTGCGCTGATGAAATACTATATAAACATAATCTAACAATGCAGTTAAGGGTGGTTGAATCTGGAACTCCCACCTTGTGGGTTTTTATCCTGTATTTTATTATTTTCTTGTTTAAGGTACTAATTCATGCTTTTATAATGCAGCCAACAATTTAGGGGTGGATGCTATTTTTGTTTACACGAAGACTGGTCACATGGCATCTCTTCTATCGCGTTGTCGACCTGATTGTCCAATTTTCGCATTTACTAACTTGACGTCTATACGCAGACGCCTGAACTTGCAATGGGGTCTCATACCATTTCGATTGAGCTATTCTGATGATATGGAAAGCAACCTCAACAAGACTTTCTCCTTGCTCAAGGCCAGGGGGATGATTAAATCAGGTGACCTCGTAATTGCTGTCTCTGACATGCTGCAATCTATTCAAGTTATGAACGTTCCATGAGAGGTAACAATATTCGGGGTAAAAAGGTCCCTCACCGTGCTATATATCCCCAGCAATTCAGCAGCTTGGCTTATACCGTTAATGGTGATGGTGAAAGAAGATTACTCAAAATCCAATCCTATGGAGTCTCAAATCTTCACGGGCATATCCTTGTCACATTATGAGCAACTCAGCGTGTTAAGCATTTTCTTGTAGCAAATATAGTCCCCAAGTCTATAAGTTCTCTTTAATTTTCTCTCGTGATAACCGATGTTGACTTTGACTTGTTAAAGTAGAAGCTTCATTTTGTTTGAAATAATGGTCGCAATGAACTAATAGGAATTTTTTTTATATAAGCAATCGTTAACATCGATCAAATGATCTGCTGTATTATATTTGCTTTGTTTATTCCGTCCGTATTTGAAGGTGGGCCCCCCATTGCTGTGAGGGGCCGGTCAGGGGGTTGTCAACCCCCGGTACAATTATCATTTCCGTCCGTATTTTGGCTCATCTTCATTAACTATTTGTTGTGACCTCACCCTACTTGAGATTTTTTCCTTTGATTGACCTCTCGAAAGGAATTGGTGCTTGTAGTTTGACAAATGAAAAAAAAAAATGGCATATTTTATTGTATAATCGGTCATCACTCTGCAGTCTACTATTAAAACATGGAAAAGAAAGCCATATTTGACAGGTTTGGCTTATATGCTATTGTATTTCATCACCATGAAAATGACCTGATATAATAAATTTCTGAAGACTAATCTGCCTCTGGTAATTGAGAATATTTTTGACTTTTTCAACATATGTTTTAATTGGCTGTTAAGTTCTGTTCTCCAATCACAAATATGTTGAATGAAGCCTCTTAAGGGGTCTAACGTTTTTAGCTCTTTTTTCTTCGACCCTTAGAAAATAAGAGTAGAAAAACCTAAGCAAACCATACGGGCATTTTGGTTACGACGTGCTGGATATGACTGGATAGGATGAAGTCGGTCAATTGTGATCGTAATTATTTAAAATGAGAGATTCTTGAAACTCTCATCTTAGAATATTTTAGAATAAGAACAGAATGAAGCACCACTCTAGGAAATGATTTTGTGGGATTTGAGGGGGGAATTTTGCAATTTATGTTCAAATGAGAAACTACAAAATAAAGAAAAACAATAGAAGATATTGAGAGAAATGAAAAGGTTTCTAATACTTTTCTACCCATAAATTGTTGACCTCAAAAATGAGATTAACAAATTTCTCTCATCTAATTAGGATTTTCCTTCCCCAAACTCATATGATTTTATGCTTGATCAAGAGTATGAAGAGAAATGACTATTTGAAAAGAGGATATTCAGATTTGCATGTCTTTCTGTGTTTCCAACTATGCCTATTTATAAATTTTTAATGAGGTCATGTGGGTAACTAAATCATTTGTGTTAATGACATATGGCACTCACTGAATAGTGAACTTCTAATTGAATTTATTAGCTTTTCGCGCTTTATTCCCAGTCCACGTATTATTTATTCATTGATTGTAAAGTCATTAGCTTTATATCCTTATTCATGTATGCTTTGATAATGGTTTCTGCTGATAAGAATAGCTGGTGAAATCAATTAAAGTACATTTGCTCTTTATTTATGCTCAAAAGTGGTTATATGGTCTCGCGTTACAAATGATTGGTTACCTTATCCTGAGTTCGCACTTGATTTGGTTGACTTTGAAAACGTTTACTGGCAAAGGCTTAAGTTCGCTACTAATCCTTTTTGAAAATTTTAATTGATAACAAATATTTCCTGAAGTTCAAGTCTAATGATTTATATTAGGTTCAGAATTTTATTGTTTAATTTCTATGTTATAAATTTTTTTATTATATCTAAATTTATTTTGATGGTAATGGGCTTTTAATAATGGGAAAAAAAAAATCATAAGTCAGGTATTAAGTTTACACCAAATCAATTTTTAGACATTAAGTTTAAAAATTCAAAAGTCAGGTGTTCATTCAACATTTTAATTTTAAATAATAATATTATCAATTTAAATTAATCTACTCACACCCACCCCACCCCACTCTTACCAGTCGTCATCCATTCTTACCGTCGTCGACAACTTCTTGAGCGACAAAATAATCGTCGGCAGTAACAACTAAACATCGTCAACTCAAATAATGGAGATAAATAGAGAAATATAGCGACCATTAGAGAACGTCAACTGAGCATCGCTGGCAAGTGATAATCTTCTTCAGCAACACTTAGCAACGTTAGTAAGATTTAAAACTGATCATT